ATTGTCTCCACGTGGAACACACATTTATCTTCTTCGTGCTCCGCTAGAATGCAAGGTGCATGAACAGACAAATTTTCGGCCATAAACTTCAACTTGTTTGACCGAAGGTTACTGCTTGGTTGCAACTGCACTGACCTCGTTCATATGGCCTCTTGTCAGCCGCGCTGAATCCACTTGTATCAGGTGAATTTCACACCTAGAAAGAAAGTACACATGTACTGTATCCTGTGGTGTATTTTGCCGTTCGTTTGGCACTTTTGAAGGTGGGGTGTTGTTTTTATTCTATGCATGCCATTGGGTTGTTTGCATAAGACCTCATGGTTCCCATATAATCACCTAACCAGTCTGAATTTGTATCGATCTATGTCCTCGAGAACTGATCGTGTGTAGACCATGTGTATAGAATGTTAGAAACAGACCTCACAAAGTATAGTCTCGCCAGATAGTTGTCCTATGGTCCGTCATTGGACCAAATGAATCCTTGAAAGAACGATCGATGGGTGAATTCATTTCATGCATGGGCGTAGACTGTAGAAAGTGTTGACAGAATAACAAAATTACACAGCTTAGTAAGGTTTCGATCTGTGCACAAAGTGAGGTAACCCAGGCATAGATGCCCGGCTTGTGGTCATCGCTTTGCCTGATAAACTAAGGAATATAGTTGCAAGCGTATCATTACCAGTCAGCGTATCAGTGTCAAGCGAGCGTGGTAGTGTTTTGGTTGCAATAAAAACCAATCACCAACTGTTACCGGAACTGACAACAGACATGTGAGGCCAAAGTGAACTTGAACCAGTAACGTAGTGCTAAAATAACATTGAATTAGAAAGCCAGTTATAATTAGCTCATCCTTTTTTAAAACTAGAGAACGATAGAATTTACCATCCACCTACAAATGAGAGTGATCTTGACGAGATTCTGTGTCTATATACAATCTTACCACAGCATCCATATGCGAAAACCAGTTGATAGGAAACTGTGTATGGTTGAGGAGAACTCTTCTAAAACTCATCACTAGATTAGCACTTTTGGGAATTATCAGGTAGGCCTAGTCGCTGAGTGCCCATCACTCCTATTACTCGCTTCACCTTTAAGTTTTACGAAGGCGGAGTTATGGACATAGTTGCGAATCAAGTCGATGTGAACGAACAACTCTATCCAATCCTAGCTGCTACCGCCTGACATTCCAGTTGGAACGATATTCAAGACATCGGACAAGTATTCCTGATATAATACCGTCTATAAGATCTATTTAAATCCCCGGAAAATTGACCAGTAGCTTCTTACTTTCTGAGGCTAATTGGGTGGGATTAGTCCCCAAAGTTCCTTCAGTCTTATCTAGACGACGATATCTAGAACGCTGTGATACTTTCGATCAATTTGGTTCAGTTATGTAGAACAGGCAGCTCGCAAATAAAGTAAATGTCACAAACTGAAAGGTATTGTTGAAGTGGAATTTGCTGCGCATGGCTACCGGTATTCGGAAGCCTGTGGGTTTGTCGATATGTGCTACGGATAATTTGGCTAACATAGCATTATGTGAATTGGAACGGAATTTCCATCACAAACCAGAAAAGCACATAACCGACGAAGTTACTGGGGCCTATTTATAACTTGTAACAATGTTTTTGCCGTAGCCACTATCAGAATGTCTTGCCAACAGAACAGTGGAGCACTGGGGCCAGTTTACACCAGAATAATTAGATACGCTGTTGCTAGATTTAACAGGAATAACTACAGACGATTGATCGCAAATTCACTTATTGTGATTGCGAACCATGTTTCGGGCTTGCTGATGGTACTGCCTGATGGCATACAATCTGTTAAAACCTTATTATCACTGACCTCCTCATCTCCTGCATATGGCGCATTTTATTACAATGATGTCTGATAACTCGGTGGAAAGGAATCAATAACCCGATGCATTTAGGTCCAAAGATTCAAATCCTGATTACTTTCCAGTCAATTTTCAGAACTAGCTACCTTCGAATAGGGTAATTCAAAATAGCCAATTTTTTGTCTAGCAATTTAAAAAGATGATGTACGCTACATAGCATTCTCAGTTTGGCTGTTAGTGTCTTGGCGGACATTCCTGTATACTCAATACGATTTGGTCGGTTTCATATCTACTTCGCCCCGTGAATTCCTCTCTTCTTCCTCAACATTAGTAAGCATCCAAATTACAGCTGAGCAGACACGTATCAAGTCTGAAGCAAATGCGAACAATCTGAGTCCACTGACAAGCTGCATCCTCAAAAAATGCATAAGAATAGGGAACCAGAACGTTGCGCACCATGATTAGCGGGATAATTCAATGCAAAACAACCTTGAATTCCGAACAATGTTTACTACGGGATGCATTATATTCGGTGGAGAAAACGGAGGAGCTCACTGTGAATCACTGAAACACACCCTTGGCACGCACTGCAACCGAAATCCCAATAAAAAATAGGAAAACTGCCATTGAACCGGGCCTTAAGGGACAACACAAATAGGCTGTGCTAACAGACCAAAAACCATGACACGTATAATCAATCAATCTTCAAGCAAGATTCCGGGCAGTAGTCCGTTGTCCTACATTTTGCCCACCGCAAGTGACAACCGGTGAGGTGAACACAATCAGACATAACACTACGAATGCTGAGTCATCTCCTGGAAAACATGGGTAAAGCGCCCCTAAAAGGAGATGCGGAAATTAGTTCAATTTGCAAGAATGGCCGTAGCTGAATGTGACCACGGTTAATCTCTGAGTGCAGTTAGAGCATTGTATTTTGAAGCTACCTTGATACGACTGTGTTCTTCAGGCCATGGCCAAGGAATTCTGGAACCAAACCATAACATCAGGCTACGGAAATGCTGTCTATGCTCAACTATGAACAACAAAGTGATGGCTAGGTAAATAAATAAACACGAAAAGGGGAATGGTAGCCTCATTCAGATTCTTGTCCGATAAACAGTCTAAAAAGATCAAGGAAAAGGAAAACCGCTTTACATCTATATTCGTGTCCCTCAGCAAGATACGTTTCCAAACATGTTTTGGACCCCTGAACTGACAAAAATATTTGTACCCGATGGGAGGACGGCAAGCACACAGGAAAACTATTTCTTCCGGTCTTGGCCATCGCACCTGTGAACCTACCTTAATGAGAAATTTCAGGACAGAACGCTCGAACAAAAAGCAATTTAGTCACCCGAATTCTCCACATATGGCCAGATGACCTCGGTGTACCCTTCAGCTCAATAAGATGAATGCACGCTTATAGCGCAAAGTACAGGATGAGATGACAGTGGCCGGAAGGAAGTCTCTGGTAGTCGCTCCAGCATAGATAGTGCGAATATGTCAGTTTGACTTGCAGACATATAAAAGACTGAAGAAACGAATAAACACAATTAAAGTTAACAGACCCGACTGGAACAACGGGAGAATCAATAAATTCGAATATTCGCACCCAACGCACCAGGATAAAACCACTCAAAAGACTCATAGCGACCGATGTTGACCGTGACGATGATGGGTATTAGGAGACAACCATTTAAACAAGATTCTCACCACCCAACTTAGTTATCGGCTGTACTGGTGGCTTGCCATAGCGCAAAAACCGATGATCACCTCTTTAACAAAGCGTCACAATCCGACAGGCAAACTAAAAGGCGATTGTCGGGCCCGACCGATAAGACAGTTTGGTCATCCAACCATCCCAGAGCAAGGAAATACTCTCACAAAGCCTCATTTAAAAGCCCTGGAAAAAGTCAGACTGGGTTTCCAGTCAGTAACGCACCAAGTCGCCCATCTTCGTCACCGAACGCAATTAAACGAGCCCCAATCGGAGTGGTGTCGAACATACACTGCCAACCTAACACAGTCCATAGACCAAAGAATCAGTGGCGTAAGCTGTCTGATCGGTTTAGCAGTAAACCAGTGACATCAACCATGGTAAACAGCACCCAATTCAATGGATATGTCACTTCAGAAGCCTCCGGAACGCTCATCTAAGGCTGACAACAGCTGCCAGGTATACAGACGCAAAAAGCTAAGAAACAACCCGTAGTTTGCACCTGAACCCTCTTTGAAATATGATTCATGCTGCTGCATCTTGGAGAAATAAAGTCCCCACGATGTACGTTTATTGGAGTACTACTTCTGTGTCCTCATTCTGTGACTCCAACGGATAACTGGGTGCTTCGGGAACGGCCCAAGGAATAACGCTTCTCGTGTTCTACCCACAAATAGCACATGCGGCAACGGTCACCCGAGATTCAGAACCGCAGCAAATATAGAGGTAAGATATGGTAGCGTAGCATAAAACAGGGTGATAGTAGGATAAGGTCACTCGATAACCCATCCCAGTAGAGGCCAATCGATGCGAATTTCGGAACTCCACCATTCGTAGACATGAGTACATCGAATCCAGGACCCGAGGTGTGTAAGATTTGCGCACGCCTACGAAAACAGACGAACACAAATCCTGATGATACGATTTGGAAACACCTCCTTCTAATGATGATTAGTGGCTTAGTAGTTAGAGCGCGAATTTACTGACCGGATGGTCCGTGGTTCGAACCCATTCACTATATCTAGGCTTGAACAAACTGGCAGGATCCCAGCCCTTGTGCTTCCTTCGGAGGGCATGGCAGCTAAGCACCGAAAGGGTTTTACAGCTGAACGATATTTTAATAAATGTAAAGTGAAAATACTTAGCAATATAAACAGCAAACCTCCAGAGCGCCCAAAAACCATTTTTCTCGCAAATTGTATTGTCCCAGTACATCATCGACTATGTTACGTAGATATTCGCTGGCTTTGCACACGACCATTACTTGCCTAATGGTACACAGTACCCTGAAATGAGATTAACCCAACCAGCTCTCTGAGACGCTCTACTGTTCGTAATGAGCTTTTCGAAGTGGATGCTTATGACTTGTTTAGGTGACATCACTGTGTAACAATTACCGCACTTTATCCATGAAGCTGTTTCTTGATAGAAATTCGTCCCATACGCGAAATTCAGTGTGTCTCACTAAAACGACCGAGATCAACCAGACCTGTGTAAAGAAAACCAAAAGCGGAGTTTCATTCTCTACGCTTAGAAGATAGGCCTTCTGGTTACGTAAGTGAAAACCGAAAACAAATCATTTCAACGGAGTGAAAGAGAATATCTTGGTTTATTCAGCACTAAAATGAAGAGGAGAAACATTTCCCGTTGGATTCTCGCCACTGCGATACCCAAAAAACGGAATTAAAACAAATGAACGAACAATTCGAAATACAATGCGTGTAGTGGACAACGTGACAGGAGGCAAAAGCGGCAGCGAAGCGCGAAAATGGGTTCCGAAAGCAGTGGCGACAGTGAAGATTAGAATGACCTGTGCTGTTCTTCAGCCTGAATAAAATGCAGCTAGGCCGACGAACGAAACACACATGTTGATCATCACATAGGAGTTAATCAGACGGAAGGCAAACACTAGAAAAAGGTTAACTCATCGACGTCATTCGATGGATCTTGACAATGAGGTGTAAAACACAAAGAATATGGGCCACGTAAGATGGATCAGCTGTCTAGCTGGATGTAATGTTCGGGTGGACGTGAAAACAATGCGGGTGCCGAGTTGCCAGACGCTCAGCCATTAATTCAAGATACCTAACACAAGTGGAAATAACAGGTAGGCCATAAAGAATCACTGGGTATGGAAAAGCAACGAATGATAATAGTACAGCTTTCTAGATAGAATAGTGTCCATGGTTCGTACTAAACACTGGGGACAGGCTAGGCGTCATCAAAAGCAAAATAAGTGCAGGACGTGAGCGAAGCAGATGGCAGGGTTCCGAAAATCCATGGGTAACAGTTCACACAAAAGCAGCTGACAAAAGTAGAGGAACCGAGGAACTTGGAAAAACGCCCGTGGTGGCAGAGGCTGTGTAGGAAACCGAGTACATGAATTACTGAAAGCAACAATCAAGGAGAATGGGAAAACATCAATTCGAATCACCCAAACCCGGGGGGGATTCAAACGTGAGAACACTGGTACCGCAAGAACTACTTCGAAATGACAGAAACACAAAACAGTGAGGTGACAAGTGCACACGGGTATTTTGCCCACTGCAAGCGATACGATGAAAGGACAACTTGATGCAGGCGCTTGCGGAGTAGACACGAGAGGGGTTGTAGTACACCGAACCGACCCACAGGAGAGATGAGTCGCAACAATCGGTTGATCCGACAATTAGAATCAACAAATAGACCAAAAGAGAAACAAAGTTACCCTTATAGAATGGAACCTGACAAGTGGGCGTAACACACCGAGGGCTCAGGAGACAAGTATGAAAAATAGATTTATGCAGCACTGATGCGCTTTGGGGAGGGTTGGGGCACATAAACGAATCGCGAAATAATGAAGTGGGGTAGAATTACACAAACAGACCATCCCGCTGGCGAGAGCAAACTAGATCGGATGACTTGCTGTGCTGAAGCAAGGCGAATGTGGGGGAGTCTATGCGGCAACTAGTGCTTTTTCTTCCGGGAGAATGACGGGATACGGAAACTCCCCTTCTTCCTGACCTTCTTTTCACTTTTTGATTTCTGGAAAAGAATGGGAATAATGTTATAGACGGGATGACGCCTAAGCAATAGGGCATGGAACAGGAGTTCAGATAATCTGACAATGAATAAAGGTAGTCGGTAAGCTACTCCAAACAAAAGGGGTATCTTAGGAACTAGTATCCAAGCCCATTTCAGCAAGCGGATGTAGTTTACTAATTAAGATCCAGAATCGACTCCACGGTCTTAAAATGAGATGAAACCCGCTGAAAATTACATATCATGTGAGGTTCACAAAGCCCACGCCTTTCGGGGAATCGCGTCTTGAAATGCCTATAACCTAGATAAGTCTGTAGGACAAGTGTATCCCAAAAATGGCAAGACTTCAGCAGCACATAGAATGCGATGGTTCGTGTCTGAGAGTGTGGTGGCACGAACTTCCTCCGGATAAAAATGCAATCACTCATGTTCCAGTGTCGCTTCCGGTTTCTCGCCCAAATTTAGTCAATCCTGTGCTTCACAATGAGTAATCGACAAAGCTAAGACGCGCGAGATGGCGGAGACCGCATTTAAAAGGAAAGAATAGTTAGCGAAATAGACTCATTTGCAAACTAATTTGGTTTTGCGAGAGACTCACATGTAACCCAGATGAATCTCTCGTTTGCGGTGTTTCCAGGCAACTCAATCTGCTGCACCAGGCCGCCTCATGTTACAGTTTGCAAATGAGTGTATTTCGCTAATTTTGTCCAGTTTGGTTTCAAGTAGAACATAAGGTTGACGGAAACTCGAGGACTGCCGCTACCTGATGAGCCCAAGAAGGGCGAAGTCGGTCGTGGGCTGTCAACGAATTCTCGGCAACCTTATGAGTAGTGCACTACGGATAAAATAGTAACTTTATGGATTTAATACTCTGACGACACATCCCATGAATGCGTGAACTGGAAATGCATGGTCCTTCAAAGAAGTAAACTGGCTGACGATTAGACACGACTAACAGCCGAGAAACTCATTTCCTTAGGTAGTAATATCACTCTCGGTGGTTTAGCATAGAATGAAGTTATGTAGCGCGAACATATCCAGTATGATTACATCGCAAAGGCGAAACGTTATATGATGCAAGAACACAATCTGTCAATGGGGATAACGCCAAAACGTTAGTAGCCCAGTTTGCGGGAGCGAGTGACTGAGTCCGTTATCGGCATAAGAATGATTGTCCTCATGGGCAACAGAAGTGAACCGATGTACTTCGCGGAAGGATTAGAACTACAGTTAAATGGGTTGAACAAAAATTCTCCAGTCAATGAGAGGATGCATGAAACCCACTATAAACCCATCAGACTGGGCGATCTCAACCGACTAAGCAATCGCCCGCTGAAGACAGAAACAACTACTTCAAAATTGGAGGGGTGTCACGTGCAAGTAAGCATGCAGAGTGTGCCCTCGGACAACTACGCAATGAGAGATAGCAAACGGCACATATACAAATGACGATAAGGCAACAACAAAAAGGACAACAACCTCTTCGTCACCACTGAGCGCCAAACCATCAGCGGATTGCAATGTGTTGGTAGTGTGGGCATTGACCTCGGCTAATGAAACGGGATGGAAGAGAAGAGAAATGAAGCAAAGTGATTAGTTCCAAGTCGCCTTTGTTGTGCGCAATGAGTATTTTCCCACATATGCAAACTGTGGCATAATCGAATGCCCGAGTAAGCCAACACAAAATGCACCGAATGTATTCCTGCCTAAAGCATGGTCGTGAATTGCGGTTCAGAGACAGCCGAACACACAAACAAGGTAGGCACGAATAGCACAAAATAGCTCCGTTAAGTGAAATTGATATGAGGCAGTTACGATGTACGCAGCTCAAGCAAATCCGAACATTCAGCTTGGAACACGGTTGTAAAGTAACCTGTCACACATGGCTGATTACTGGTATTAATCTGAAACGAAGTAGTACGATTAGGCCTAGGTAGCTAGAGTCAACGAGTGCCTTTTGGATATTAATATCAGTCGCAAACGTAGTTCTGGGTAGGTGTCAGCACCCAAGACAAGATAAATAAATTGACGGTGAGTTATTCCCCTCTGCATAACGACCGCCACCAGAACGATGAACGGCTACCATATCTTTCATATACAATAAAAGAGCTGATCCAAATTCATGGTCTCTTGCAGGAAGCACAGGGTGATATCAGTGACAAAGGTGGATAGTAAACCCTGGAGACCCCACAAGTTGGAAAGTTCATTCGGCCAGAATTAGGGAGATTGGTGTTATGAAGGATATTCAAAGACTCCAAGAGTACACACCGCTGACCGGGTAGATCTGGAAGAGCCATTGTAGCCACGGCGTGGGAGACTCTTCTGAACCCTGACCAACAGTGTGCGTGGCGGTGCTCAAGGACTTAATCCAATGTGAAAGGGTGGTCATTGTATAGTCTATATATTATCTGCGACACTCGGCAATTAGTTCAGGTGTCGTAACATTACTGACGCCAGTAATTGAGCTACGGCTGGCGTACTGCTTAGAGTTAATCTGGAGATAATCCCAAAGGAAAAAAAAGCTTTATCAGACGAACTAGGAGCGCTATAATTTAATCAAATATAGAATTGTTCAGTCTATCAAGAGCTGACCACGCCCTTCACAAAGAACACACGTGTCCACACTCCAAGTCAACAATTTGGTATCAGGTCCTCCGTGAAAACTCATCACTAGCTAGGATTAACATTCAGGCTAGCCGCTCCAATAAGTCGAGAACTGGTCAGACCACAAAGGCCCTATCCAGTCCAATATGAAACATTCCATACTACGTACAATACGTACCACATACTACGGCCAATCCCTCTTCGTCGACACTTTGTCATCTGTGTCACGCTTTTAGAGAAGCATGCATATGCTTAGGTAATGAAAGTTAAAAACTAATATGGTTGAAAAAACATATGGGTAATGAGCGACACCACAAACCCGGGTCAATTAAATTGATAAGCTTAATCTAGAACAAATGAACATAGTAGCCAACAGAAAAAAGACCGTAAGAGTTCTGATTAAGTCACTATTCCCGTCTGCTCCTACAAGAAGCATCACAGAATAAACCAGCCGGTAAGCCTAACAAGTTGCCTAGAGTAAACAGACTGAGTCCTAACTGTCAGTATCACAATGGCTACTGTGAAAACGGAAGCAAGGTACATTGTGCAAAACGCTGTTACCGCTACTAGTTCCCACTTTATTTTATCCCTCTCCTCACCATTTAACCTAAAACATTCGTATTTGCAACCTTTGGTAGGCAATAAACACGTTGCGTGCTGAGTGTATGGGAGGCTATTAAGGTTACCTCATTGATATGATCTAGCGACATTCGATATTCAATCGGTGACATTTTTAGCTCGCAATCCTAGTGTATTTGATTGTGGTCGATGTGCACAGCAGGATAATTCAGAACTGCCCACGGAAGAATAACATGTAAACTTTCGTTAGTGGAAATATTCCTCCTACGTATCAGAAGCAATAGACTCATTGAAATGGAATGTTTGCTTAACAAGCTCTTGTTCGCTCAATCTCCTCGGGTAGATCACACAGAAGACCAAGAGCAAACATCAACTTCCCATGGTAATGTGAATTGAAAATTGCTGAGGGCTATAAAGAAGTAGATAACAATTATCTCCATTAGAATACACGTTTTGTAGTTTGAATTCCGGCACCGGGGATGCAGCGGTCATCCTGGTTTGAATCACAAAAACGCGGTATTCGTCTTGGCTGAATGCATTTGAAGCGTAAAATCAAATCAGTGAAGATCGTGTCGTATGAACCCCGGTGTCTGGATATTCTATGCGGCTGCATAGGGTACTGGTAAGTCATAGAGAAGGTAGCCAAAGTGGATTACTTTGCCCACATTGTGGTAGATGAGATTCAAGTAAATACATCAGGAGGATAAATACTGATTAAGTTTTACATCGGGACACATGACAAACACCTAGTTCCGATGTCATGCGGAGAACAAATGACGATTCAGGATAGTAACGCCTCGATTAGTACTGCTCAGCTTTGGGTGTCATTTATTTTCGGTATGACTGTCTGTCAGACAAGACTTGCATACGGCTAACGCAGGATCTTTGAAGTCGAGAGTGAGGAGCGCGTGGAAAGATAGTGGAAATCTAGAGCATCGCAAAAACATTATTTTCTAGTGACGAATAATGTTAGCTCAGATAGGCCTTGATAGCGCTTAGCGATCTTACAGCACGCAGTACGATCTTTGAAGAGTTTTATACCAATTGATAAAAAATCCTAAACGGTTTGTGCTGGAAATCTGAGTGTTCTAGGCTAGATGAGAATGAAGATTGTAAAAAAACAGTGGTCTTAAAAGCGCTCCGTGTAATCTACCCATAATCAATTAACTAAAGCATGCGCATAAAGTTGCCTACTGGATACCGATAAAGTTTGCAACAGCTAGAGGAGAACTGATAAGGTTCTACACAAACCGATTAGCGACGCTTAAGGAGATCGCCAGAGACAAGTGTATTTGTGAGTCGTCACACCTAGATTCTATTAATAATACAAAGTAAAATGAAGCTGGCTGATAAAAATTAGCGTTTTGTTAGCGTTTCGCTACAAATACGGTAAAAAGTTCATCATTCAGAGGCATAGACGAATGGGACAGCCGAAGAGCTAAACGGAAATGTGGCACCATACTGGCCAATAGGGCAAAACCATCCGATAATATCAACAGCATTAACCCGCGATGGCATTGCAACGCCCTACCGACGAACACAACACAAAAGAATTCCAACCACCAAGTAGGCAGTTAAACGTGACCATTTTGTGTTATATCAGTCCAATACATCTTACGGGTGAAAAACAGACAGGCAAGTTGGTCATTCGTCGCCACACGGTGATCGATCGACCAATCTTACTACCACCACGATGCGAAATCTGCAGCATGTTCGGAGAGCAAATATTTACGTCCTAACCGAGTTGACGTCGTTCGCTGATGGAATGAACCGAAAAGGCAATTAGATAAAAAGATTCCGTAGGAGACGTGCGGAAACACGAGGACAAACAAACATGGAAAGCTGATGGTTACGATAAGGTAGTTACGGTAAAGACAATCGTTGAAATTTTAGAGTTGAACAGGAGCAGTGACTGACTGAGCAATGCAGCAGCGTGAACAAAACAGGTCGCCGGGTTTCCGTCAACCTTATGTTCTACTTTGAGCCAACTTGCACGAAATTAGCGAATACACACTCATTTGCAAACTAATTTGGTTTTTCGGGGACTGCACCTACCTGATGGGCCCCAAGAAGGAGCGAAACCGATCGTGGGCTGTCGACGGATTTTAAGCAACCCTATGCGTAGTACATTACAAAGAAAGCATGTTTAGTTTGTTCGGAAATTGAGCGGCTACGCGTTAAAGGCGATAGCTTTGATGCATGAGCGTCACTGACTGTGCAATTGGGCTATTTCCGCCAACACCATTAACCACTGGTGGTTTGAGTCCGGAGTCCTCACCCAGGGAGACGGCCGTTGCCCACCCGACTAAGTTTACTGGTTGGTGTCTTCCTATTTCATTGCCGGGCCATAGACTGTCCTCCCCTCGGTCCCCTCCACTTAGCATAGGGCTTGCGAAAAAGAGCTCTGTGAGGCAGGCGGTCCTCTGGCATGCGGAGTACATGACCCAACCAGCGCAAGCTATGAAGTATGAGTAATCCATATATTGGGGAAGAGTTCCTTCTTCCTAAGACCAACTGGCGTACCTCAGCATTACTAATTCGATGTTCCCACCAGACCTGACCATGATTTGTCATGGAATATCTGACCGGACCACTTGTGCTGTACTACTCAGAAGTTGACTTAGAATGAAAAACGGCCAGCGGCCAGCAAATTAATGGCAACTGCTAGTAAGTGAAAGGATAGGGAACTTACCGCGGTTCTTCACTGAGGCCGGCAGGGTAGCACTTTTGATCGCTGGTCTTAGCTGATCCGGAGGGGACCGGGTGACTGCAATTATGAGAAACCAAAAAAAAAACAAGAGAGTGCAATGAACGGCCACCAAAAGTAGCCAATTGAGGCGCCAAGAATCCAGAAAAATTTGCGACATCGACAAGTTATTGTACGGAGCCGGCCGTCCAGCATGGCAGTGCCTCCTTGTTCGCCCATCTGTCACTGAGTTCCAAATGGCGAAACCAAGTATTTTAATGTCATTCAGTCAGTTTTACCGTCATAACCCATCTGTCAAGGTACATTTACGGAGAATGAGTGAGGGAATGACAGCATCACATAGCAGGCCATGGCCGACCAGTCGGTTAATGTTGAGCTGGTCAATTTGTGTGATAAAACGGTGTTTGTGAGTGTGTGTGTGTGTGTGTAAGCTATGCACGGAAAAAAATAAACGTTCATGTAGAACCTCCAGTAGATGCAAGGGAAACACAACTCTGTGGGTCATTAACTCTTGACCTGCAGTCCCTATTCCGGGGGACTACAGATTTCAACCCGATTGAATTAGCATCGTTAGCAGAGAAGGCGCAGTTCAATCAACTGACACACGATGAACACAGGACCAATGCAACACGATAACTTCCAGTGTAGCGCAAAGTGAATAAGCTATTTCCTTGCCTATCGATCAGCTGTACCGTAGACTCGTCACTGGGCACGGCAGAACATCAGTCGTTATCATTCACTCCCGTGGAAACACTCGCGTCTCACAAATGTAGCAAGCAGGATTTCTTCAACAGAGCTTACGTCAGAGAGGGCACTTCCAGGGTTGTGGATTGCATGCTTAGGACGCTGATCACTAAGCATAAATCATACCGAGGAAGATAAGGTGAAAGTGCAGGTCAGTGAATGTTACAAATGAGGCTATAGCCGTCTCGCAGCATACTAATATGAAGTCGCTTCTTTCCAGGCTCCTAATAGCAGGAGTTAAATCCTGAAAATATAAGAAGATAGAAAGCTTCCAAAAGGGCGGACCTATTCCCAACTTCTTGGTTTGACGGAGATAGGAATTAGCATACAGGAAGGTCTAAGTGCGAGTAGTTACAAAGTGAAACAGACTTCTCAGAAAAAAAACATAGCACTAGTTCTATGTTGTTTAGCCAATGCAACGTTAAACCATGGCTTCTTAAGGGTCTCACTGCGAATGACTGACTGACACATCGAATTAATTCATTTCTGAAGAAAATACAGCGAACTGACGCTCCGTTAGGCTACTAGACAGACCCGTGCAATTGGAATTGATGAATTTATCACATTTCTCAATTCCGCGTCCTCACAATATAGTTAGTATCGAGCTTCAGTGATAAGGTACGATTCAATGCCTACGGCGAGACGTTCAGCGGAACAGAGTCCGACAAATTTTTCGAAGTACTTAATGATTAGGTTTTTTGCAACCAACTTCACACAACTCAAGAACTTAGATTTCTCTGATGTCAGATTTTGTTCGGCATCAAAGTCCACAGGAAACTAATCTTGCGTTCAAGATGGAACCGGAGATTTATCTAATTCAGTAACTGCAGCTAGCGAACCTAATAACCAAGAACGCCAATTAATAGTCGTTTGGGTCAGTCCAAAAGACTAATGGGTCAGACACTAGTTACTTAGGATGTCACATCAAGTGACGAGCAGACGTGACGTCCACTCAATTCACCCGGGATGCACGGTGGTAGAACAATAACCAGAATGAAACCTGTCAGACCGTTTAACCAAATCACTTTATCTAAGACAAATAGCAGGCATTGTGTTCCCCTGAATACATTTGAATAGGGTAAACATAATTACATTACATCCATTGTTACATCTAAAGCTGCGGAAATTTCTGTGCGGGACAGACAGATAAAACCCCCTGATGCCATGGGTCTGGGACATTTTCCACCGACAAACGAAACCACTAGACAAACAAGTGATCGAAGCCAACTGTCATCGATCAACAGGCTGCCTACTCAATTGACAGAACGCAAAATTATCCATTCTGATGTTATGTCGATCACTGAAGCTGGAATTTTGGAGGCTTTACTGATTATTCGCTTCAGGTTACCACTGCTCGCAGAAATGTGTGGCAGTTACGGCACGCTTACCCTGATTTACGGAGACAAGTGGGTTTCATTCGACAATTTAGCTGACTTGTACGTTGTACGATTGGTCGCGTTTGTCCCACTACTTTCTGTAACGTGGTGTGACTGACGAAACTGCGTCAAACGGTACCATCGCGCAGGCTTTGTATTCCATGTGAAATACAAGGCCATCGTATAAAAAGCAGGAATTAAACAAACTTTATCAGTCATTCGCATTTTTCGCGTGCACTGGTAAGTGAGGCTACTGAGGATAACGGTCTGTGTGGACAACACCCGTTCACAGCAAATATGCATACTGCGCTCGTAATTTAGTAAATACTGGTAGTCGATGGTAATACCACTAGTCTAATATTTGGAAGAAAACAGCAGACATCCAGGAGCAGCAAGCAACGTTCATTGCAAAGGGGATTTTGGAGCGCATGCCCGGTTGAAAGGTGTTTACCGCTTCACGCAGTTTTTCGATGAACTTTCACAGACTTTGCAGACACCAGTATGTAATGAATTTACGAGTTCAAACCAGCTTAAGCGTCAGTGTGAGAGTCCATACCGCTGCAGATTAGTGAGAGCTCACAGTCGAGAAACGATGGAATAGACAGCGCTTAACCACACTTGAGGTGCTCTGACCACATGCTTCCTTACTTTCTTCCCCATCAACTAAAGCTTAAACACAATTGCAAACGAAAGCCCACTTCATAAGTGCATAATTCTGAGAACTTCCAAATAAATGTTGAAACATTCGTGTACAGAATAGTTTGTCCTTTGTTAGTGTTGGTTACATTCTGCAGGATTGCTGCTCCCAAGTTCTCCCATAAATCCAAGATTGATAGCATCTATTGAGGACTATTCCTCCTTGACCGCTACGTCACAGAGATCCTTGCTGTTGTTTATATTCGCAGTGCATGCAGTGCAGTCCAGCAATGGAATTCTCTGATACAAAAAGCGTGAGCAAATTGATTTGGCAATTTAGATTGACGTACAAGGCGTCGATGTGGTATTCCGTCGACTTGTCCTTCAAAAAAGGCCGCAAAACGGGGATTGGGCAGAATTCCACTATATCCCAACATTATAAAGGATATTAGCTTCTTCCATCCAACTCTATGCATTCTGGACAGCCGAGGCACCCCTCACTTTCGTGGGCCTGTCCCCTCAACCTCGACAACAGTGTTCTTCGCGGTCCCTGCTATCATTATATAACGGGGGTATTGGGTGTCCAGACTATGAGACATTGTTAATTAAGACAATTGTCTTTCCGAATTTTCCCTTCCCTTTTTTAGCCAAACAATGACATCACATAAAGTTGGGGTAACGAGATACTTATTAGTAACCAACGGGTTTGTTCTAACGAATCAGGTTCTGAAAGCCGAATGCCATTACATTGAAGCTTATCCCATAAAGCCTTTGTGGAAGGGTAAAAACTGAAATATGTGAAAGTTTCTGAGTAGCTCGGTTGTTGAAATAAATCTTAGGACATTTCGTTAAAATATCCCGGTGACCTTAAACGTAACCTAGCACTACAATTCAGTCCCCGGGTGTTTTGTGATCACTACCGTAGGACTGCTCCAGGCCTATCGGAATAGGCGAAGTCCGCATGCATCTGAGTTCACTCATCGGAATAGTTCAGTGCCAGGCGAAGTCCGCATGCATCTGAGTTCACTCAGCACAGATGCCAGGTGGCGCTGGTGAGGAAACTGCTTTCGATTTTTATGTTTCTAGGATTGGGTCCCATATGTAAGAATGTAGTTTGGCACACGGTGCAAAAACTAGCCAGTACACAGAATCCCAATGATCTATTTAAAAAAATCGTTCAGCTGCAGCACCATTTCGGTGCCTCGCTGCCACGCCACACGAAGGAAGCACGAGGGCTGGGATAATGCCAGGTTGCCCAAGACTAGACAGGGGAAGTCGAGAGGCAGAGGTCGGGTTCAAACCACGGACCTTCCGGTCAATAAATCCGCGCTCTAACCGCTTGAGCCATCTCGGTCCTAATGATCTAATAAAGCGTATGTTGAACTCTCTCTGGTACGCCTGATTTACTAGTACACGTTGTCTAGTGTCACAAGGTAGCAGTGAGGCATCACTTAAAAGGCCAAATACGACATACTACCAGATATCTGACAAAAAATCCGTAGGCATACTATGGTTAACAACTGGCGAACATTTTCTGATGAAAGGCATAATTCCCCCGAATCTGAGGGTAACTGAAGGTAAGGCAACTTCGTAAGGATCTAGCATGCTATTATACTTCAAAACCCAAACTTGTATCCGTTAGCTCCATTCCTCTTTAAAACACATCTTTAACTGCAGTGGCTAACTTCGACCAAATCACCCTCAGTTTTGTCAAACTCCGGTGACATTTCTTCAGATTGACTGGAATCAGCAGGAGGATGACTTAATTACCTGAGTGTCAATCAGATCAATATGATGCTATCATGCCGCGTGCATTGCATTATTTACACAAGGAATGCAGTCATCCTTATCACGTGGAACGTTGTTCACAGCTACGATCCTGCACATGACCTGAGGTGTTTCCACTCCCAAAATCAGTAAATACAAATCATCCTCCACATCAAAAAACTGTTTCATTTCATTTTTTGAGCAATGTACATCTACTGTCTACGCGAAGGTTTGGCGACATTAACAAAATACCGTTAGCACGGATACTAAGGGATCAAGGTAGCCAGCAAAGTCAGGTTAAGGTCACCCAAAATTACATACACGGATGGCCTTTTACTCTCTTCAAACACGACTTACCAATAGCGTTTCTTCAGAGTGTTGTCTTTCTTTTTTGCACCCCTCGTACACGAAACAGTAGTTACAGTAGGTTTGAACTACATTTTTTTATTAGTTGAGTTGAAGCACCGTTCTCCATCAGTGCTTGAAAATACAGCAACAGCATCAGTACTATCCATAACGTAGCTGTAAACATTGAACAGCCCACTCAAAGTGAGTGGACGGATGAGTGGATGCACATTCGTTTAGAACTGAATGTGCTGACAGCCCAAGTTCAGCTGGAACGATGTCCAGGATATCGAACTGTTTACCGCAAGATATGTACACACTGATGTTCGGGTAGGAAATAAGCTTGATGTAAATTCGAAGATTAGACCCGCTTGATGATTACCAAAAAAGCGAAACCTGTAGTTAGTTGTCTAGAGTTTTGATTGACCTTATGAGAGGCATGGAAACACACGTTCAGTAGAAGAGATTCTGGTGAACTGCAGCTGCGTCTCCTTTCATCACCAAATTAAGTCCCAAATAAAAGTTTACTGAAATGTGGGATTTCGTCCTGTAAGTGAAGCCAATCTATGCTGAAATGTCTTTTTTTGGAAATTATTGCTGGCAAACATAACCAGGAGTTTTCGGCAAGGTTCGATACACCCCTTCCAAGAAAACCAACGGAATCCCTATTGTAAAATAGCCAGGCCCAACGCTGTCTGGAAAACTTAGTTCATCCAGTTCATTTTTCGTTCAGTTTCCGGTCGTTAACCTGCAGGGACGGAATCCTTTCGCTCAGTTCGCTATTACTCCATAATGGACCGATCGGTCCTCAGTATTACGTTCAGCACATAAAGAACGAACTGTCTTGTTATGAGATCCATAGAGAATATCACTAGATTTAGTCCGCGGTAGAGAACTACCCAACTTCTGTGCCATCTGGAAGACCTCACGAGCGAACGTCGGTATGACTCCAAACATCACAGTTCCAGACGGAACATGCCAACTTGCGTCACAAGCATAATCATTCTCCCTTGGCTCGTTTGACGAGACGCAGTTGCGCAACAGATTTCGATTGTGTACGGCATATAGATCCCACACGTAATCCTTCCATACAAGTTCCGCACTCCAACCTCAGCAAATGGATCGAGGCGTTTTTTGAGCGGTCGCTCAAATCACGCATGTCTCAGATTAGTGTAAGTGTTCTTCGAGCATATATACTGCCCGCACACTTTTCACCAATGAGTTATAGTCATCTCCTTCCCACATTCAATCACCTGTCGCTCTTTATCCTTCATCCTACCGTTGACAGAGCACTTCCATCAGGGTGTCAAAAAGCGACCTTAATTGGATGGCCGAACGAGGCATGTTGACTGCAAATCCCTCCATGTACCACCTCACTCATGGATTAAACATCTATCATCTTCCAGTCTACTTTGTTCATTCTTCTTCAGCTGACGTTTATGGGCCTTTCCAAGTCCGCTTAGTTCAAACTGCTCATGACTCTCGCCTCTTGGAAGAAAGGCTTTCTATTTCGAGCACGTAAACAGTTTAATATCATTTAGCTTCTCACTAAACACCAGGCTCGGTTCACCTTCAGATCACGAAGAGACTGGACCCCGTCATGAAGAGACTGGACCTTACCGTGGTGTGACGGTTTGCGCACCTCAGCGATCCATTGAGCTACACTGGAGAGTGTCCCGCGACACTCACAGAGTCTCTCATACCAGGTTGGTCAATGGTTAGAGGTCTGACGAACACAGTCTCCTGGCCCTCCAGGTCGAGGGTTGGAACATCTGGCGACTTGTTCCGTAGAAATGGTAATGCATTTGCATTTCCCGCCAAACACCGCTGCTTTGCAGTTAGGCTTTTGAGCCAAAGGCTTTGGTTGAGGACCCTAATCGTCCTCCTGTCTAGGCGTGGGCGCCCTGGCAGTATCCCAGCCGAAGTACAACCACGAATCGCACAAATTAAGATAATACTTGTAAGCCTCGGTACCACAGTTTCTTGATCAAATGCCTGAAAAAAACTCCTACCGACCGAATGCAGCCTTTCTTGCTTTGTTTTCTTATTACCTCAAAGGAAGATATTTGTCGGAACTAGATTTTTTCCGTCCCAATACCTCAATCCCTTTGCCGCACAAACGTACTATTCACCTGATGGGAGACGTCTCAAGTGGTTAGAGCGCGAATTTACTGACCGGAAGGTCCAGAGTTAGAACCCGACCACTGCCCCTCGACCTCCCCTGTCTAGGCTTGGGCAGTCTGGCAGTTTCCTAACCCTCGTGCTTCCTTCGGGTAGCATAGCAGCTGGGTACCGGGAGGACGTTACGCCGAACGATTACTTTTTATCACTTATTACTATTCACCTCCTGCCATCACTACCAGGTTTTAACCCCCTAGGGAAGAAAGTGAATATTTAAGTCTTCATTATTCCGCGGAACAGAACCTTCGTCTACTTCCTGTATTTCCAAACTCACCCCACCCCACAAACATTGAGTTATTGTGCATCTTCTCAATCCATCATTCTTGCTTCCGAACCTTAACGTCATTAATATGGGCTCCCCTTCCTCTGCAATGCTTAAGAGGACGTACGTGATACCCACGTTCGTGATACCTAAAAAAGCCTGATGACGAGTGCGAATTTGCACAATTCCCTCATCTATCATAAGGCGTTAGCGATAGTGAACTTTACTTTCTGAAACTGTTTCATTTACTAAGCGCTGTGCAACTACACGTACCACATAATTCAATTCACTAGTTGACTTGGTTAATTAGAATGCCTTACACGACAGGAGGAGCGAGGCAATATCTGGCCTACGTTCTGTCTATATTACCATACCTTCAGAACTGGTGACCAAAAGGAAAGCCTAAAATGCGTGAAAATGAGGCCTCAACGGAAATATGATCTGGCGACCTAATTCAGCAATTAATTCCAGTAGACAACAGTTGAAAAGCAACGCGTAAACCAGAAGGCCACGAGTGGAGGAGAATATGCTGGTCGACACAACAAAGAGGACCGAATACCTTAACAAAATTCCTGCGGCCGTCTGTATGCAGAAATGTAATCGTAAGTAAAACAGCCTTTGGCACCAAATACGACAGAAACTTTTCATGGAGGGTTAAAGCAATCAGGAAACACAGATCGTAACTCGTTTGGTTAGTAAATGTCTACGGTGGGATCAAAGACAAAAGCGACAAGCCCATCCCGATATGTCAACAAAAACTGACAGGTCCCATGCGTCGCATCCTCGACTGTCGGTCGACGGGAAAACGACCGATACATGAACGTGCAAGGACAAAAGTACCAAGTGCACCAAGGTTTGTTGTGAAGACCACAAAAAACACGCAAATATTCATCCGGAGGGTGCTCTTTCAAGATACCAACAAGCGCAAGCTCTGCGTGATGAACTTTGTTCACAGGGAACCGAATAGCTCTATCAGGCTGAAGGTATCCAGCAGCAAAAATGTCATGCCACCCAAGAGAAGACCCGGTAACTCGGCTCCAAAAGGAAAGCATTCAATAGTTTCCCTCCCATAGCAGAACGAGTAGATGGAATGATAGTGATAGCGGTAGCAATAGCGAAATCAAGGCAAACGAAAATCATCCATGAAGCAGGGGCGGAAACTCACCAATCAGCGATTCGCCGTTCAACATAGGACTGCTTCTTCCGTCTTGTAGGGAGCTGGGGGCTCTTGGTAAACTGGATGGTGAGTAACCCAAGGGTGGACGCTTCAGAGGAGTAGTGACTGGGGAATCGGGTGGAGGATTGTGAAACGAGTGTACCGGTCTAACAACCGGTGTCAAGTTCGCAGACTGGTTGGAACCGGGTGAGGCCACCATCGAACTGCTCACTTAAAGGGTCAAATCGGCGGAGAATTGCGGAGAAGAATGCGTCCATGCATACATGCATGATAAGGTACAGTATACACGCAAACACAGAAAAACAGCAGAACAGTAATGCACAACGCAGGATGTTGTTGCTCAAGACAAAGTAGCATGCAGATTGAATTAAGGAGAGTTCAGAAGACAATTGGTAATGGCACATGCGAAACTGGAATTACCTCATGCAGCACAGTGGTAAGTAACAAGCGGGCCTTCTGATATAACCACCTTATATAAATCACGCAGAACTTACCAAGACCTGGTGCTGTGGGGTCCCGTTTGTCTGATAACCATTGGTTGCGTTGCACACTCTTCAACCGATTGGCTTTCACGCTGTCCACGATTCTGTGGTAGAAAATATTTCATCATCGTCATCATGAACAGCGTGACATCAGTGTTCAACACTGATGCTTCGTTGGCGTACAACCATGATTTATTTAAAAGCCTTATTGTAAAGAAAAGAGTAAATGTGAACAGGGAATGGACTTAGCACTACTACCTTACCACAATCATTCCGAGGTGCCTACAACTGCAAAAACTAATTCAGACAATCTGGATAGAAACTGACAGCTGAAACGCCACTGATATAAAATAGAAACCATAGCGTGCAGTGTCTCCAATCAGGCGCGCTGGGGATCACGCTGAAATGTGAAACAGCTACAAACAACATAGCATTAACGCTACTGAGTAAAAAAATATCAGCTGATCTCCGACACCAGTACCAGAAGCAAGAAATCATCCCGATATTCTTGGGCGAGACTTTTTCTCTCGGTCGGGGTTCGATGAGAAAAGAGATCAGCATTTCACTACGTCACCACAACGTTTCGGGATAGAGCTCTGTTTCGAAAATGAGAACAGCATGAGATATTCTTAAGCTAGTGAAAGGGATTTGAGATGTAAGTCAAACACAGAGAATGGACTCCGAGATTCTGGCCTAAGAGGACCCAAAACGACAGGCGCAAAACACCAACTAGTAGCTGATATTCTCTGTACTTGGTTTGTCGCGAACGAAGAGCGACATGTTGAAAGGAGGTCCAACTATCTGAGTAACGTGCACTGAGTGAAACAGAATGGTTGTCATTTCTCGCTCAACAAAACAAGGCAGTTGGTTCCACGCGTGAGCCTGCTTACACAGGCAGTCAACTACTTTCTCAAGCAAATAGGATGAGATCCCTGAGCAAAGTATGTCAGAAAGTAACGGACGTCCCACTTAAAAATCCACAAACGGATGGAGAGCTGTCCACACCGGTTGAATCTCGGTGGCTCCGCTAATGGCTACAAACGACTTATGTTTACAAGTCATCGCTCACCCAGGATCAGGCTTTTTGAAGATAATTGGATGCCAAAGATTCCGTAAGATTGAATCCCCTTTGTAAATCACGTAATTCCAGAACAACAAAACACGAACCGAAAGAATTCAGTACATCTACCGTTCGTGCGCCATGATTCACAGAGAGCAAGAGCGAAAGCATAAATCAGGATGGTAAATGACAATCGTTCAGCTGCAACATCCTTCCGGTGCATGCTATCCGAAGAAATCACGAGGGATCAGACACTGCCACGTTATCCAAGCCTAAAGAGGAGTAGTCGAGATGCTGATGTTAGGTTCGAACTACGGGCCGTCCGGTGATTAAGCTACTCTCAAGCTCGCCAGCATGGTAGATATTGGATTGACCGGCTTCACCAAATCCACGTATGCTTACCTCAATCACCAATATCCTGCTTGTTTCTCACCTGAGTCTGATTATCGGTCAAAACAGAATGATCGGTGCCACGAAAAAGCAGTGAAAGTTTGAAGACGTGCTCCCTATGGGTAAATGAAAGGCCCCCGAATTTGAGATAAGACTAGTTCTGTCAACGATCTCTCCATGGTCGACAACTGTCGACCGAAGACTGATTAGAGCCAGCCTCATAAAATAAACGTCACCAAAGGTTTTTGATGTGGAATGATATGACTATCTGTCTCTCCCGTACGTGAGCAACAGAGATATTCCCTTGCGTGTAGCAAGGAAACTTCGAGGTAAACCTAATCACTACAACGCATCGCAGAACAAGGATATGAATAAATCGGCATCAGTAGGAGCATAACCAACCTGACAAATTTTTTCCCCAAACAAACCAGAAAATTTTAGTTGCATTTATCAAGGGAGTGGGAAATATCCTTGGAAGAAACCGACGATACACTGCTTACTTAGCCACTTGCTGAACCCCGGCAGCCTCCGCGGCCGCGACATCATCAGTAGCACTAAATTCAGTTGCCGAGAAATCCGTGGTAAACAAGTCGGCACCAGTCATTTGATCGCCTAGCGTGTCTCCAGCCCATGTGGACGCGGCATGTGCTCTTCGGAGCAGATTCGGTTGCCGATAGACATGACCGGTCCGAAATCCAGCACTGTCGAGTACCCGCATTTCGGCTTCGAACTCCAGTTCTGCTGGTGCCCAGGATATTTCTGTAGGAAATAGAAAGCATGGTGTCAGAAAATAGAAAGGGGCAACAGAAGACGACAGATACTACTCTGAACAACACCCACTCACAAGGATACTAACAGAAGATTGAATGCTGGCGCATCACTTCACACCTTTCGTTTGATTCATCCAAGAAACACTGAATCGCAGATATCAAGTTATTTAGTCCGAGCTCGCGTAACCGATTTGTAGTGTGCTTTAAGCATCATACCCAACTGGGATCAGTTGTTTTTGTCTTCTGATTTGAAGTGGGTTCAATCCAAATCGGACCAATTCAGTTCTATGCGTGTATCGTCCGTAAGAACAGTGAAACAGAACCACCAATCATTCTGATTATTTCCCGCGTACCTGATTTAGACGTGATAGCTAGAGAGTGGTGCTAATTGGCTCGTCCCTTTTAAAAGATCGGGACCATGGTCGAAGCGTCCTAATACACTATTCTGCCTTCCTTTGAAATTTCCCGTAATACGGCCGTCAGACTGTTCACCATGGCTTCACCACCTTGTTTGAAAACTGCGGAGTGCAGACCGTCCAAATCGAATACTTTGTCACATCGTAGGAATCATATATCACATTGGATTTCTGTTGCTGACGGCAGAAGGGTCATCATCATCATCATCATCATTGTCAGCTGTAATAACCGCGTACTCGTCGTACAGTGGTTGTAGCTGCCGCAGTTTCGTTCACCGATGTTTCGGGGAGGGGATAGGTACAGTGGGCTGGCAGAAGGGTATCGATATCCCACTTGGGTCCATTGGATGCTTCCAGCGGTAGCGATGAAGTTCAACCAGTGACTGAAGACGACGATTTTGTGAACGAATAGTCGGTTCACCTTTTCAGCAACTTGTTTTGCTGACAGCTATTTTTCGGCCACTCGATCGTATCTGCTAAAATAGGGTGCGGCTGCTGTCTGCAGCGAAGGTCCTCTTTTTTTGGCCTTTATAATCCACAACTGTGTCATTCTTCATGTTTTTGGTTATCTAGCGTTTAATGGATCTGAATGCATCATCATTGTGAACAGTTGCTGATGTCGCCGCTAGCCTGGGACAGGCAGCTCTAAGATGATACCTTTCACTCATTCTCTTTCGTTGATTCTCCAACCAATCTTCATCCGCAGGACTTTGTCACTGAACTAGCTTCCTAACCAGATCGCCTCGATATTGTTGAGCTACTGCAACTTGTCAAAGCTGATGAACAGAACCGTCTTACTTCTGCAAGGGTAATTCTGAAAAGAAAGCGTATTCATAACCAAGCCTGTACAATGGCATGATAGAAGTTACTATGCGTATTCCAGAGGGATCGGCAAATTTGAGGCTCTCCATAGGTATATAACTGCCGCATCATCCAAATAAGTCCACAAACGGCCTGTGGCCTCCAAGTCACCCAGAATGGTCGCTTGTGCCAACAGCTCATGTTGGCCAGGGACGAACGGTGTTCAACAGCTTTTCGTCATGCATGTTGGGAGGCACCAGAAACTAATGTACGTCGATAGTCAGTAATGGTGCCCAGGTGAGAAACAGGAAACGTACAAATATAGTTCCGAAAGCTTTGACTGTGACAGAACGACCACAACACAGATGCTCACACACTACCAACAGCATCCGAACAGCATAAGTGATCATACAAAAAATGGTGACGACCCCAACAACAAACGGCACCGCCATTGGTAAGCGATACGGTAGCCAGCTGTACTGACAGGGATTGAAAAATACTGATGTAACGATAAGGATAGGTGCTAAGCGTACCACGCCGACAAACCAACTTACCTCCGGATCCGCTACGGGCTTTCCCATTTAAAAGTGAGTGCCCATGGGCATCGTTCATTTCATCATCACCATCAAGGTCTGAGAATGGCCGCGGTGCAGAGCTGGAAGTACCATCCATCAAATACGCTGCCGTTGCTTTCAGATCGGCCAACATACTAGCTCCGCCGGTCAGCTGAAGCATTCGCATCTGGGTACAAAACAGGCAGAATTAGGTGTTATTCGGTAACCTGGAAGGTCGGCGTTAAGATTTGCCCGCCAAGCTTCGCCAAGCATACGTTACACAAGACGTATGTGCCCTTGTCCTTTACTCTGTCTTTTTTTACACACAATGGTACGCGCAACATCACAACCAGATTGCTCTGATAGCATCGTTATTCTGCTGCATGTTTAACATGCCAAGATCTGGATTTGGAAGCGTAAGCCACTGCTCAAATAACGCACCCGTACTGCAACCCGATTAACCATGGTTGGGTAACAAAGTGTTTCTTGTTTTGTTTGACAATACCGACAACCAAATTAAACCAGTTAGTCCCAAAAACCAAGTTTTGGCTTCACTGTGTTTACACTTTCAGTAGTTATGCAAACAATGGTGTGACGGGGTTGTATGCCTCTGTGACCCATTGAACTACACAAGGGAGTGTTCGTTCGACACTGATAATGCACCGACCAAACATCGCTGCCTTGAGGTCAGGTTTTTGAGCCAAACGCTTTGGTCCACCCTAATCGCCCCTCTGTCTAGGTCTGAACGCCCGGGCAGTATCCACGCCCACGTACAGGCATGAACTGCACACTTAAAAATAATCTCGTGTTACGATAGCGAAGCATCAGTGTTGAGCACTGATGTTATGCTGCCGACGATGAGTAGTTATACGAAGCGAGCAGGCCACCTGAAACGGAATTGTCACGGCTGTTGTCCGAGGGGGTACCACCGCACAACCTAGAAAATACACATACTTTAACAATGACAGACTGATACGGGTAAAGTATCATTCGTGTAGTTCACCAATTGCGTACAATAAGTTGCTCAATTAGAACAGTGGTGGGAGCTCGAGGATTACGACTACCTACTGAGCTAAAAGAAGGACGAAATCGGTGGTGGTATGCCTGCAGCTTTTCAATATCAGGCTACGAATCAACACCGCCATCAACATCGACAGCATCAAATCAGTGTTAAAAACACTGATTATTCGCTGCTGTACACCTGCAATTTGTTTGAAAGCCCTATTTTGAAAGGAAGAATAAAGTTTGATGGGGAACGGACTTAAACCCAACAAAATCATTCTGAAGGGCCTAAACCTCCAAACATTTTCTCAGATGGACCCTATCCTGGAAGGCGAGTCGCAGCGACAGCAACCTGACTTCATTTCCCTCTGCCAGATCAAAGGTTCACCACTCCTCTAGTTATGTCACTCTGAATGGAACACAGAAAGCAGATGGGCGAGATGGCCCAAGTGGTAACAGCGCGAATTTACTGACCGGAAGGTCCGCGGTTCGAATCCGACCTCCGCCTCTCGACTCCCCCTGTCTAGGCTTGGGCAACCTGGCAGTATCAAAGCCTTCGTGCTTCCTTCGGGTGGCAAGGCAGCTAGGCACCGAAAGGGTGCTACAGCTGAACGCTTTCTTTCTTCTTTATCCGCGTCTTAAGATGGTTTGACATGCGCAATGCATAGCTTAACCACCGCAGCTTTTGGCGCTGTAAATTCCCCGTTGCATAACCGAAGATTTATCTTCCACATATCGGGCTCAAGATTGCTTAGTGGTTAGGGTTACTGACTGGAAGGTCCGTAGCTCGAACCCAACCTTTGCATCTCGACTGCTGTCAAGGTTCGGGCTACCTGGCAGTATCTCAGCCATCATGCTCCCTTTCGGTGGCATGACAGCAATGCACTGAGAGGGTGTTACGGCTGAAAGATTTTCCCCAACTGTCTCCTTGCCAATTCGCCGGCACCAGGCTAAAGGAACCACGGTTTTGAAACGACGGTTGTCGAAGATCTGGAGACGTTTAAGTTCCGCTGCTCGCACAGGCCACTTCTCCCGACCATACAACTGTACAACCTGATACACACGTCCTTTGAGATCCATGGATATACCACTGACACCATAGAGGGCTCATATTAGAAAACTCGATCCAAGTCTTATAGATTTGTGCATTGACCTCAACCGTCACACTATACTCGGAAATGATAAACTTCCAAGATAGGTAAAACGCTCCACAACTTTCTCATGGAATGTAAATAGAATGTTCAGCGAATGCTTGCCATAAGCATGGCCTCACACTTTGTTGGTGCAGAACGCATGGTAAACGACTGAATGACTATGGTCAGTTCATTCATCTGCTTCAAACACGAGATGTCTTCAGCATATTCAATACCGAAGAAGTTTTTGTCAGCATCTATGGTTGTTGAGACCTCCTCAAGTAGAACATAAGGTTGACGGAAACTCAGAGATTGCGCCTACATGGTGAGCACCAAGAAGGGCGAAACCGATCGAAGAGTTTTCAGCAACTTTTCTTTCCTTCATGAATACCTCCTAGCCTCCACATCATCTCATCAATCAAAAAATTGAAAGTGGTCGGAGTGGACATCCCTGTTGAACACTACTCTGTGTACTCTCACACGCCAGGAATTCGAGAATACAACGAACTGATCACGTTCACAAACTACGTTGCCGGCAACTGAGTCGAGTGTGCCTTAGAAAGAGGGTAACACTAAAATTATGGGCCGTTTAAAAGTATGACCAATGCAACCCCTACAAGACCGGAATCCCACTGGCTGCTTTCAAACCAATCCTCCACGGGCAACCCTAAGGCAAGTGAAGTAAAGAATCTTGTGCGGACAAGGTGATACTCCTGTGGTTATCACACTCACTACGGGCCCACATTGGCTGTCGCAAGGTGTCCGTTGTCAACGTATGACCTTAAAAACACGATATTTGCGTCCGTGTCACATGAAATTAAGCCACGTGTACCTGGAAATAATTTCGGGTATGGTGTTAGCCACGAGCAGAGAAGTATTTAGGGGGTTCTGTTGACTAGTTTGGAAAAGCTAGCGATATATTCCCAAGCAGAACCTCGAACTCATTCGGTAGATTCTACCACAACCACCAAAGGCCGGTATACCTATACGTATACTATATCTATACTGAAACTATGAGAAAACTACCCAAGATTCTACCACACACCAACGCATTCTTTTCCCCCACGCCACTATGTAGTTTTAAACTCCAGAGTCAGTGCAATAATGAAACCACAGTGTGAGATGAATCGAATCGGACATCATAAGGTACTACTAACGCACATCACATATGCAAGAAAATCCATAAGTGCGTTGATCATAGTTAACAATGACGTGAGACGTAATACTAAGTGAGGGGTTCCCAGATGACGTGATAGCGTGTACGGGGGTGCTGGTGAATGTGTGAATGAAAAGAAACAAGGCACCTGAAGAGTTGACCAATCGAAAGGGTGAACCAGAGTAAACTCAGTCTACCAAGTGAATGAAATGGAGTGAGTGAAAGTAAACTCACCTGCGTTTGACAGGCGGCAACAACACGCTTGAGTACATACCAAGCTTCAGCAACACTTGAGGCTGCGACTGCAACACCGTGGTTTCGTAGAAACAGCACTTTGGCTTTGGGTCCAAGGTCCTTCTGTATGCTACCCTTTTCTGCATCGTCGACCAGGATTCCGTGGTAGTCATGATATTGCACACCAATGGAACTGAGAAGTTCGTTGGCCTCAGGACTAACGGGCAGCAGACCAGCCCGAATACAAGAGACCTAATAGCAAAAAGTCAAGCAAAGACAAGACGAATTCGTTATACACGAGAAACTCCTCAGTACTATAGGTAACTCAGGAGAAAGGAAAAAGTATATTCGATTTTCAGCGAAACTGCAAGTGAACAAGACAAAAGTTACAAATGACTCAAGGATGGTCTATACACCGGTGATCAACCGTACGGCACCAAGTAGCCAATAGGATTACACTAGGCCACTACACATAACACGAGAAATCCTCACCTATAAAACCTGAACAAGCTATCTCACTGATCATAGCGGATTTCAGAAGCAGATCGCAGAACGTACTTGATACAAACATTTACTTCGGTGGTCACTTCAGTGTTTTGAGTGACCCTCTTCAAAGTGCGGTTCTCCTCCAACCTCATTCCACTGTTCAACAGTGAACAAAATCGAAACGGCTGACACCACCAAATGACTTGTACGTGGTTTAAGATAATGATCATGAGCACAGACACAAGGCAGCCCATGTATGATCACTAGTAAAGGCCGTATGAACAGAAGGGAGTAAAGTGAGATACGAGAACTGGGACACCTCAAAACGATCATATTGTCACAATAAAGAGGCCTCTCTCGGATAAGTATAGTACAAATGCAAGCGTGACACAACAGGCACCGAAATTAGAAAAGAATGGCTTTCATTTACTCCATGCAGTGTCGCCTCTATCCAATGTAGACAAAGTTCAGATGAATGGATAAAATAAGATAACACTACTCAACTTCGGTGCAAGGAAATAGAAAATGTGTTAAAACGAGACTAAAATGGATTATGCAATGGGTTACATGCACCCTGAAGTTGCGCCAACTCAGAGGTGCCCGCATCCTGACTTGGTTTTTCTTCTCATGCCCTAAATGTCAGCGTTTGGATAGTGTGCAACAAAGCCCCACCAAGGAGAATAACCCGATTACAACCCAACACAGAGAAAGGCAGTTTGGAGCAACGATTGCACCATTAGAATGAATTTGACAGACGGACGACGGTCAAGAAGGAAATCCCACTTTTTCATTACGTCACCGTCATCCAACGAACTACAAAATCATCTTAAGGATGTGGAGATGCTGAAATAACTAAGTATGTGAGGTGTTTCGATGTAACCGTTTCACCAAAACCTTTCATCCACGTCTTTTCGCCAGCCTGTAGTGGCAAATTCCAACAGGAACCTCACACTTCCGATTCTACGCAAGTCTAAAGTGTGAACAATGACCACCCAGAGCTCTATTATACAATTTTGGTAAATATGAATCGCACATTAGCAAATACACTGCAACCATCAAGCGGGTCCTGTTCTCATGTCTGCCATTAATTTGCGTAAAAAAAAGTACAGCGGTTATTCCAGCCCCATCTTCAGTTTTTGCTGACCAAAGAATGACGAATACGACCGGTGTTTTGACCGGTGTTTTGAAGGCCTCCTGATTAACAGTTTGCAACTGCTGTCTACTTGGTACTGACGCGCGAAATGTACTCGCGAAAAAAATTTCCGGGTCGGTCGTGTAGACAACTTATTGACGAACTGCGAGTGAACCGAGCGACCGTAACACGAGGAAGCCAGGTTGTCAAAATGCATACATCCTGAACCAGAAGGACTTTTTAGAAAAGCTGTGAGGTACTGGTTTCTATCGTTCTTACTAAGGCCTACCAAACGAGCCAATTTGGAGGTGAAACTCAGGAACAAGTTCACTCGATATCAGCACAGTAGAAACAAAGCACATGAGATGTGCTGAATTTTCCGGCCTTTTGGGCAGTAAAAATAGGCTTACACTGATATTACATTGCACATTCTACACCCTATAGTTTTGGTTCTACCTAACGACTTGCGCTTCACTAGACAGTGAAAGATTCTACTAGCTTAGGTTCGACATGTTCTGATAATACGAGAAGCATCGACAAACGTGTACGACAAGTGCATAGTATAGGTTCTTGGTCTGGCATTCACCAACCGGATTACGTGATGCAACAATCAGATAAAAAGTGCCTGGATACATTGATAAAGACCGCTGAAGTCTAGCGACTGGCTGGTGCAAATAGCAAAACTTATCTAGTTTGATTTAAAGGTGTACAAAGTCAGTTTCCTCGGAAACGGATCAAATTTTGTGCGAATGGTATGGAGACTATGATCTTTACTCGATCACGATCGTGCTGGAGCGGATTACATCCGTACGACGGCAGAAACATTTCATGTCTACTGAATGGAGTGAAAACGATAGACTATAGATCATCTGTGCCTTTGGACACACTCCACCCACGAAACTTCCAGCGTACCGGCCTATGGTGCAATATAGGATAGCAAATAATTTATTATGGAGCTGAAGTAAGGCGGGGTAGATTTTACCAGCAGGACGCAATGCGGTGGTTGCAGTGGTACGCATATATCCAAAGGGCTAAATCAAGCGATTGGGTGAAATACGGAAGAAGGAAATCAGGTACGTACCGCGATAACATCTGGCAGGTGTATGTGAACGATGCAGTTGACATCCGGTCGAGACGCGTACAGGGCGGAATGTAACGTCCAAGCGGCCTTGTTGACACCCAACACTGTGCTACCTTGTTGGATAACGTTACCTGACCAGACAAAGCGACACGCAGAGTCAAGTGTATGTACCGAATGACGGCTAGCATAAACATACACAGTCCATCATTATCTGAGTCGACCTTCTCTGTGTGAACAGGAAACAGCAGGTATGGTTACGATGGACAATCAAACAGTGCAATAAAAAACAAAGTGGGAAACACAAGTATTACTATTGTTCTGATTACTTTGTGACTGAGAACTGTATGTTTTTATTGAACAACATTGCATTTGGACCGCATCTTCTCCCAAGTACTCGTAGGTACGACGGTCATATAGCACGTCGGACAAGAAAAAACGCGGAAGGGTGAAACGTCCGAGGAGATTTAGGCCTACAGGCAAGTTGGAGACGTGAGTATGCAGAAATTACGATATAGTAAGTTCAAAGGTAACAGCTTGATTAAATGAAGCGCAGTTGCGCCCACCTTCTGTTCAGGGATACACTGGGTGTGTACGAAATAATCACGTATGGCGAATCGTTTCGTTTGAACCTCGCAGTATCCACGCCCGGTTATAATTTGGACAACAAAAGGCTCCATCACCGCGATCACAATCTTCTTTACTAACTACCGCACTAATATCACTCACCGCGATCGCCAATACATCCTTAAAGGTCCTGAGGAAAGCTGGCGCAACACCGCGCCCTTGACAAGATAAGACAGTCGACAATAATGACGAACCTATTTTATTCAGGTGTCGGTCACAAGTGAATGACTCAGTCTACAATTTCCCATCCGCGGTAACAAGATTACGTACATACTTCATATGATGGTGCGCTAACAACCCCCATAACGATGACACATCCAGAGCAGTCTGAAATCAGCCTCAGTAAGTATACAATCACTACCGCGGACATCAGATGAACAGATATCATATTCATTAAGCAGCGTCCCTAAAGACTGAAAAACATTTGGAGCAGGTATGTTTCATCAACCCAGCTTTAATATCTTTGATAATACCATCCAATTGCAAACGATTCACCTGGCATTAAGATGAATCGCCCAATAACATCAACTTAAATTGAAAATGGATGCACTTCGCCAATTGTGTACAATTTGACGTTTGCGTTGGGCATACGATTAGCAGAAACCTGGGGAGGGCGCCTACCCGGTCATCCCCAAGAGTAAAACCAGTCGCAGAAAAGTTTTCAGTACCCCATGAGTAGTGTATTCCAGCAAGAAAAAAACATACCTTCTTCATCGATTTTCACCAGGCAGGATGCTTGAATCTCATGGTATAACAAACCAAAGGGATTGACAAGGAAATGGTGGGAGTTGTCCGGACACCTTGCCTGTGAACAAAGCAAAAATAAGAGAAGTTCTAAGATAGGGTAAGCTTATTTGAGAACCTCGCCATGCGGCCCAGTTTAGCCGTCATGAAAAGGTTAGACCTGATCGTGGTACCCCGGTTTGCTTACCTCAGCAACTCATCGCTATTACTGTTATTGTCGGGTACACCATTCAACTGCCCAGGGGCAATCAAGAAATTAGGGGTGTACCCCAACCACTGGCTTGCCAGCATGGTTGAGTAATCGATCCGCCAGATGATCAACTATGCGGTCAGCACAGTGGAAAACAGATGTGAAAACTCAAACGCCGGTGTAGAGGGTAAGTAGAATGCGTGAGAGAGGATTGGTTGCATTCTGCGGTGTGCATGCAACATGTGAAGCAAACCAATGTGAACATTCAGCACCTTGTCATTTCGAAGTCCATACATCGGCACAAAGAAAAACAATAACAACTTCAATGCAAAGGGAGTCCACTGTTGTCCTACTCGCTTCAGTGTGCGAACATTCGAGGTTAGAAAAGTGAGTTCGAGGTGACTAGGATTGTTAGTGGAGATGGACGCACAGCTGGACGTACTGCATGACACACGAAGCGTTTAGTCCTAGTGCTCGGACATGCAAACATAATATTCACATTGGGGTGGAGTAGGGTAGAGGAGTAAATACATGAAGTTTTGAGTGGTTAGTAGATTCACACTTCATTGCTAGGTCATAGACTGTCCATATCTCGGTCGTTTGCACTCAACAAAGAGCAAGATAGACGTTTACCGGACATGCGGAGTAAATGTCCTAACCGGCACAAACTATGGAGCATAATAAGCTGGTTCATGGCAGGAGTTTTTTTCTAAGATATCCAGCGAATGTAGGCCGACGAGTTTGAAGAATGAGTGTAAATATTCCCCGTTCTTCAAACGATTTGTAAGCAACTTAGGACATAATAACCTCAGCGGTTCCGTGTCTGTTTCCTGATTTTCTGAGAGAAAAAAGGAAACTCTTAATTCCCATGAAGATTAGGGTTCTTAGGGCACCTAACAACCTTCGAGAAAACAGCTTGTACATGCAGGCGAACCTTGCGAAAATCACATATGTCACGGCAACCAAAGAATTATCACTCAGAATCACAATACTCCCAATACTCATTCTCGTTGTCTACTCAGAAACGTCATTCAACGACCTCACAAGAACACAACTGAAAATGAAATAATCTCGAAATATGAGCAGCTGACCGCATTTCTGTTTTGCTCTGCATTCATGTCACATGACCTATGAATAAGCGATTCGGAGCGCGCCTGTGTGTGCGAACCGCAACAGAATAGACAGAAAACTTAAAAGTCAGAATGACTAACCGATATGTGATTGTAAATCGAATGGGTCCATCCACGAACATCCACGAGACGGTATAACGCTGCCAGACTTCGCCGAAGGGTACATTCCTCACGGGAATAGGCGGAAGCTTCCTCACCCCGGAGGTCATTCACTGGAATGGTTGGAAGTTGGCCTGGAAAGACAGAGAAGGCGAAAACAAAGCGGATATAGGTCGGGCTTTATTGCAATGGGGTCTTGCCAAATGCGGCTACAGTCGTGAGACAAAGGCACCGGATGATGTGGGATTAGTGCTCAATGAATGGATAGATGAACCAAACCCAATTAACATAATAACGCCGTCGCAAGGCCGCATCCCAATACTCACGTCGGTCGTCGTTTCCGAATACTCTCAATAGCTCTGAAAAGCAGGAAGATGCAACAAGGGGAAGCACAGATGATGTATTCTCCTGATTCAAAGTTGGACACAGCAACAGGATGAGAGCGTGGCAACGCACCAATTATAAACAAGTCAAAAGTGACATCATGATTCAGTGCTTAGATAGAACTGGTGCAGCCGAAAACCTCGAAGGGATCACCAAAATGAGGTTTGTTCGATAATGCAATCTGCGATGCAGGGCGGCCCAAGCCTCTGATACGCAAGAAGTCGTCATCATCAAAGATAGCAACAACAGTGTTGACAGTGATGTTCACCAATGTACAGTCACAAAGTTTATTTAATTATACTTAAGGCCTTAGCGTGAAAACAGTGGACGAGGACAACCAATGCCAGCCTACTACAAGCATTCTGATCCATGTTGTTTGACTATGTACGCATTCAACCCCGTAACTGGTTCCTTCACCATGATGATTGTTGCGCTGTATCACCTAAGTTCAGAAGTACCTTAGGCACGCAATCAGCAACGCCAAATGCGGCATTCTCCTTAGCTTGCTTGGTAACAGCCCTCTGATAACTGAGAATTTCTCAGGAGATAACTTCAGGCCTTATATGGCAAACAATTCATTCGATCACCAAATCAAGTGAGAAGGCAGATGAAAAGTATTGGTGGTAGACTCAGGAGAACAGTCACAAGAGACTTTCATGCACCTACAGATGTCGAGGCAGAACAGAAGAATAGTCAATAACTTGGAGACTTAAGGAACCTGCATAGCTGAAACGGCCGACTGAGTTAAACGCTGCACAAGTTGGTCTTCTACATATGTGACGTGTTCCAGAAAAGGCTGCACAACGAAAATGTGGGCGATACACACAATATTCGGAGGGAATTCTGCCTGATTTTCACAACTGTCTCTCGTGCATGCTGGTGAGGCAGCGTAGGATGACATGCATCAACAAATTCGAAGCAATGGTAATTAAAGTGACATCCCAAAGATCTCCGCAGTTGCGTCTGACGACCTTTTTGGAGATAAGGAGGAAGGCATAAATCCGTCGTTACCCGGAAGGTTCACGCGTCCGCCAGAAACTCCGGATGAAGTGTGAATGAGACATTTCCTTAAATGAGGAAAGGTGAGATGACCTCCACAAAGCACGCTGGTTCTGTTCAGGGGTTTCGGGTTGCTTAACATACGTCGAATTCAAGCGGCCTGCATCCAGCTGTAAAACTGAAGTCTGTGAAGTCGTTCTTCAAAGTGCTCCATCGTCCCTTGTAGTTCCCCTCAACCAGTATTGAGGATAAATTGAAACAGAATTCGACTGTTCCTGAACGCTGCCACTTTCTCCTTATCTATCGTGTCCTCTTATTAGTTTGTAGACGCAAGTCGAGAGTCTCTTCGAAATGTAAATCCGACGAAATTGCCAACCCTACTCAGCGACGGCGAAAAACTGCTGTGACCATCAGCCGAAAATATTCAAGACCAAATGTCGGATGCACAGAATTTCGAGCTAGGCTTTATTCAGCCAGCTAGTTTGTTCCGCGTGAAACTTTGCCAGACGGTCTTGGACCGGAGTATGACCTGAGTCCAAACAAAAATTCCAAATGGAACAGTAGTCTTGTCCCCAAAAAGGAGTGTCACGCACAAACGACATATAAACAGTCAAGCACATGAATTTGACACCAATCACAGCCGGCGTGACATCATTCTGATCAGAATCTGACGAAAGCGACAGATGTCCGGTCTTTATCTTCGGATAAGGAGATAGATCTTGAATTTGCAGTTAGAAATATAAGAGAGGAAAATAAGAAGAAGGGAATGTTTTCTGTTCGGGCCGAAAGACCGACGCCTGGGGCTTTTGATTATACATTTGACACGTATACGATTGGAGGATGAGATGCAGGAAAAGGAGATGTGCATTGAAGGCAATACCTTGGATGCACGAGCGTCATTGAGGGCGCATATTGGTATGTGAAGCTAGTCCTGGCCTATTGGGAAGATGAGATCAGCGTATGTTGTTGTTCTCTTTATATTACAGGTCACAGTTGGTTATGTAGACTTAGGAGGTGGTGGTTGATGTTGACCCTCACCAAAATCCAAGAAACTTCAAGACACCTTACGAACGTCAAACTCACAATTTCATCCGCGCTACGGCGTTCCCGAAAAAAGACGTACCTTGCACTCTCTCCATGGCAAGTGTCAATAGTATCACTGCTCAAAGCAAGAAAGCATTGTCATCTTGAATTTCGAGGTGAAGAACACAGAACCGCCATGGATCACAGTAACAACACACCACCAACCCGTAAATACATGGCTACTACGTGGAAATAGAGACAAGAATAAGATAGTGGGAACCAATTCAAGTTGCCTGTCATAATTTTGGCGCTACCGGTTACGTACCTCTGATGAGTTAAAAACAACCGTTCATGACAACGTTGGGATCGGGATTATTTCAGCACTGGGTGGAGTCAATACGTGACTGAACACCCAATGGTAAACGTCTATGTGCAAGCAGCCCGGTCATGTCTGCAAACTGGGGCTGAGAATAGTTTTTTCCGCTCGAAAGTCTGATAGTTTCAGTCAAATGAAGCACAAGGTACCACGTCACAAGTCCTAAAACCCAGGTATCACTATGGTTTCAGGAGATACGAATAGGAAATCGGGCAGAGTTAGTGTCCGACTGGGTGTCCGTCGAGCGCTGAGCGATTAGTCATCATCGGTAGTCAAGGACAATGGGATTAAACCACTCTCCAGAATGTACTCTTTGAGCAGACCTCTTGAAAACCGGGGCACTGAGAGCAATGGAGGTCCCCGTGTGTCGCGGGAGATGTATCTGCACTGATGGCGGCGTGACAGTGGGTGACTTCTAAAACAAGAGTAACTATACTATTTGTGATACCGAGGAGATAAATCACTTGGTCTCAAGGACTGTGCGCCCAACCATAATGCGACCTGTGCTGTCATACGGATTCGAAGAAATCAGCTGTGATATCTACATGCTTTTGACGAAATTTTGTAACTAACGCCAGCACAGGCTAGCGGTGAAACAATTGCAACGTAATCATTGGACGAGCGTGTGATCCCGCGAGTGTACTTCAGGAAAGCAGAACGTTCGGTAGCTTAGTCTGAGTCCACATATGCCGTTTCGTCGTCTATCGAGAAAGTTTATGAGCAGAATTACAAGTGGTAAAAAGGTATGTACTGCAAGCGTTGAAAGGAGCAAATTGGAATCACGCAAAGTCTAGGTGGAGTGGGGGCGACCTGCATTCAATGGTGAGGTCCACGTGATTGGCTAGACACTGCAATGCAGGAAACCTATGGGAGATGCATTCACGCTGCCAGCTTTTTATCAAGGCTAACCGATTCGGGGCATGCACCTCAGTGGCATGCGATAGGCTGTTACCAGATCCGTTCCCTCTTATGCTGTTCTCCACATGGTGGAGTTTCTGTGGAGAAAATTAGGGTGGGTGCCTGAAAATGAACCACAGTGTTGCTGTCAATGGCACTGATGTTAACTATATAATGGAAGAAGTACTTTGTCCAGGATTTCTGGTACTCATCGGTGATGGATCTGCAAGCAACTGACATTGGAGAAGTAGACCGTTACAGGCGCTTCGGAAAGTGCATATGTCCTTTGACCATGGGTTTACATTACCGGGTTACTCGTCATCATCGTCATTGGCAGCAATGCAACAGTAATAAGGGTGTTGAACTGCTGCACAGATATGGGGGAAGAGTGCTACAGTAAACAGTAAAAGCTTGGTATAAAGAACTTTCTCCTGGAAGAACCCAGAATAAAGCGCCCATAGGTTTGACCAGCATGTAAACAGATAGATATAACCAGCGGGATGGATTGTAAGTCTTTGAAAAACAAATACGACATTCCACAAACTCCAGCTATATGGTTTGATTATGCTTCTCTATGGGGTCTTCAGCAAAGACCAGAGAAATCACGCACACCGTAAGCAAGATAATGCGAAAATCTCACAGCACTTAGTGGCCACGTCCATTACAGACCAGGTATGATCCTGTCTCTGTATCCATATGGTATGCCGCGATACAAGCATGGCTTAAATGTCTACAGAAAAACTCAAATTCCTCATCCTGAAGTTCTTGAGGGATACAAAGAGACTGAAAATCCTTCAGTGATAATTTGTACTTATAAGTCGCAAAGAGCGTGCCGAACTGAGAAACCTCGAAATGTAAATCCGACGAAATTGCCAACCCTACTCAGCGACGGCGAAAAACTGCTGTGACCATCAGCCGAAAATATTCAAGACCAAATGTCGGATGCACAGAATTTCGAGCTAGGCTTTATTCAGCCAGCTAGTTTGTTCCGCGTGAAACTTTGCCAGACGGTCTTGGACCGGAGTATGACCTGAGTCCAAACAAAAATTCCAAATGGAACAGTAGTCTTGTCCCCAAAAAGGAGTGTCACGCACAAACGACATATAAACAGTCAAGCACATGAATTTGACACCAATCACAGCCGGCGTGACATCATTCTGATCAGAATCTGACGAAAGCGACAGATGTCCGGTCTTTATCTTCGGATAAGGAGATAGATCTTGAATTTGCAGTTAGAAATATAAGAGAGGAAAATAAGAAGAAGGGAATGTTTTCTGTTCGGGCCGAAAGACCGACGCCTGGGAAAGTACACCTGGGGCTTTTGATTAAACATTTGACACGTATACGATTGGAGGGTGAGATGCAAGAAAAGGAGCTGTGCATTGAAGGCAATACCTTGGATGCACGAGCGCCATTGAGGGCGCATATTGGTATGTGAAGCTAGTCCTGGCCTAT